AAAAAAAAAAAAAAACAGATCCCCATACGTTATCAGGCATAACACAGCACAGGAAAATATTTTTCACCTACAAGATCAATGGTTGGAATCATGACGATAAACAAAATAATAGCCATACCAGCTACCAACAAAAGAAAGGATCTGCTTTTTAAAAGAATGGATGATGATGGTAATTAATAATAATAATAATAATAATAATAATAATAATAATAATAATAATAGCCATACCCTCCACCTCTTTTCTTATCCAATGACAGTATCAAAGGTTCAGTTGAAGCTACATGTTCAAAGCCTGTTTTTAACTCCCACCTGTCGTGTTGTCCAAAGAAACGGGCATCGACTTGCCCGTCTTTATCCCTCAGAGCTTTTGCAGGCCAGAATGGAAAGCCCTTCAGTTTGGCCCAGACCAAAGGATGTGGATTGCTCTAGAAGAAAAACAAAATCCGGGGTTTGTATATACATGGCAGTGAGACACACATTAACGCTCCCTGTGGGAAGACAATACAAATGGGTAGGAGATGACACAGGACACCAGCAGAGAGCAAGCAAGCGACAGATTTAAGCAGGGCCGGCTCAAGTGGAATTCCCTAGAAGGTCTGTGGCCATGATACCTGAACTAAGGTGGGAAGGGACTTAAAGAGGCCTGTGCCAACAGGAGCAGGCTTGCACAGGCAAAGGGGCCCAGACTGGACTAAATATGCGTCGTGCCCAGCATTTAAAGGGCAGCAGTAGCTACCTTGATTCTTAGGGGCCTCTGCAGAGCCTCAGCTATTCGGGCGCTTATCTCCTAAGGCAAAAAGACTTAAAGTATGCTTTGATCTTTTCTTGCCCAGTCCCACCCTCTCCCCTCTCTCACCTTCCCATCCTCGCCCCCTCAGCCCACGATGACGATGCACTTCTCTCCACAAAACACCAGTCGGCCAGGTTGAGACACTGGGTTCCATCCCCAGCACCACAGAACAAAACACCACACAACAGTGTGGAAATAAATGCAGAGCTGAAACCCGGGTGACATGCTACCACGAACACCCTCAAGAACTATGGTTTAAAACAACCGGGAAGTGCATCCAGAAAAATATTTCCAAACAGACCCAACACAGGCTAAGGATGGGGCTCAGTGGTAGAGCACTTAACTTTGCGTGGACAAGGCCCTGGGTTTGATCCCCAGCACTGCGACCAAAAAAAAAAAAAAAACCCCACATACGCAAAACAACCTATAAATAAACGAGACACTCATTCAAAGTTCACATCATCTCTGATAAGCGCCCTTTGACTCTGTACCTCACACTTTGTTGAGAACGATAAACCCAGGAACTAGGGTGCTAATATTTAGCCTGCTACATTACTTTCACTCTGTAATAATTTTATCAGTAAAAATTATTAAAACACCATCCAGTTTTGTCTCCTAAGTCCCGGAGAATGCTGACTCAGGGGAGCCAGTGAAGGCACAAAGTTCAAAAAATAAAATAAGGAAAGTAAATGCAACTTACACAAGGCTCACAAAACCAGTTATCTCGTTTTTGGCAAGCAGCTAGATAACATTCTGGACATACTTCAATTTCATTCATCTGTAAAGCAAAAATACATTAGGATGTATCACACCAAGGACCTGACATCATACATAACAGCCCCTGATAAATGGTTAACCCTTTTATTTAGAGGTTTGGTTTTCTTTCTCCTTTTTGTAAGATGGAGACTCACTACTGCGTGCAGGCTGGGTTCATCCAGTCCTTTGTACCTGGTATTACAGCTCGCAGCCATCCACAGCTGACTCCCAGCCTCCATTCTGGGGCCACTGTATTCACAGCGCAGGTAACAGAGAGCCACCTTGCCCTTCCCCTGTGACTTCCCATCACGCTGGCAGTTCCGCTGAGCAGGTTATCGTCCACCCCTGCCCCTGGGAGCGCTTAGCTATGTCTGCAGACATTTTTGGTTGTTGAAAAGTGGGGGTCAGGGCTGCTACTGGAAACTCTGATCCACAGGACGGTCCCTGCCTCCAGATGTCATAACTGTCAAGTTGAGAAACTAACAAAGTCTCAACACCCGATCAGCTCCTCGAGGCTGTGTGCAGTCCTGGCCTCAGCCCTGGAATCTGAGCTCATCTGTACTAGCTCTCTGCTCTCCGACTTATTCCACACAGTCTGGCTTCCCGGCCACACCACACTCGTCTCTCGGCATGTCTCGTCACAACTAATACCACGGCACCCTACTTTATTTCCCGTAATGACAATGGGGAAATTCAACAACTTATTTACTGTCCTTTCCCCTCTTGAAGATAGTACATTCCCCAAGATAACATCATGACTTTGAAATAACTGCCCAGAAGATCATCCATCTGAATTCACACTCCACCACTGACTTAGCACAATAACTCTTAGAAAACCTATCTATCTTTGCCGGGCCTCCACTTCTGCACTGGTAGGTTAGGGGTGAGAGCAGTCCCTCCCCACAGGGCTCAAAAAATCTAAATGAGATAAACGACACTGTCATCAACACACGACTTAACATTTATCAGACACAGAGTGTGCTCTTATCATTCTAAGCATTCAGTGGGTATTAACTCATTTATTCCTCATAAAACCCAGGTGAGCAAAGAAATATGTTATGCCTATTTCGCAGAGGGAGAAAACGAGGCCCCAAGAAGTCAAAGTAATCTCCCCAAAGGTTCACAGTGCCAGAGTGACAGCTTTTCTGGAAAGCAATCAGGAAATATCCACCTGAAACCTTTCCAGTGTTCATACCTCCTCATCTGCTCACTGTGATTCTAAAAGTCACGCTGCACAAATCATTAGGAAGGCACACCAGGATTGATGGGCAATGTCATCTTATTTAAGATGGTGACAAAACTAGGTACTGTTGAGCTGGGGAATTAGCTTATCAGCACCACACCTGTCTTGCAATTGCAAGCACAAGGAGGTCCTGAGTTCAATCCCCGGTAGCAAAAAAAAAAAAAAAGAACAAGACAAAACTAGGTAGAGTTAGCTAAATGACAAAACAAGAGGCATTAAGTAAATGTTTACAAGCTGTGTGTAGGAATACTGTGTAGCCATGGAAAATTTAGTTTTTCCTGTGTGCTTAATTACCTAGGAAAATAAAAACACATACATATACATTTATGTACACCCCAGTGATAGCCAAACAGATTTTCCAAGAAAGAAATGAAAGCACACAGTCAGGACCTTGCGCTTTTGAGGCAGTTGCACCACCACTGAGCTAAATCCCCGGCCCTACTGTATGTCAGTTTTATTCATGGAGTGGGCTCCATCCTGTCATTTCCACTACTACCTGATCCCATAACCACCAGGCCCTCCCAGCTCACAGACCCTCAAGTCATTGCCTTCCCGCTGTCAGAACCACAGGCATCTGCAAGAGCACAATCTCTAGGACACCTGGGCCACCTTCTGAGGAACAGCTAAGACCTTTCCCGGGGGTCAAACCTAAACCTCTTCCGCTGGGAGCAGAAAAGGCCCAAACTCAATGCTACAGATTTTGGGGCCAAGATCAGAAATGAACTCTAGCCAGGCAACCAAGAAAATTCAGGAAGCCTAGTGCAGGGCTAGGATTTCTGAAGAGAAATATAAAAATTGGTTTCTTCTGCTTCAGATGGCTACTAAGGTAAGGGTGCTTTGTAAAACACTGAGGGCCTCTCTTTGTGACTTTTATTTTTTCAAAGACAGGAAGTGCTATGTGCACCTCAACAAATTCCAAAGACACAACAGCCAACCACTAGGGGAGACTGCAAGTGAAACAGTGCCCCAACATGGCACTCTGGATGCAGCCACAATAGGATGGCAGGAAACACATACCTCGTGTTCACAGATTTTGATGACTACTTTCGCTATTTGAGTCAATTTGTGATTTCCTACGGGAATAAGAAAAGAGAATTAATTCTAATGGAGACACCGTAACACTCTGTTGGGAGACTATACTTCCACTAACAGCCTTTTAACTTGCTTTCCCCCAAGATTCAGCCTTTAAAAGGTAAAAAAACCTCCAAGTTTCTGGCTTCTTATAGTGGTTCAAATTACCAACTTTGCCCCTCAAAAATCAACCAGTCCTTGGTGCCTCAATGTTGTCTCAGAAACTGAGTAATTGGTTTGGGTTTCCTATCGATCATGAATTAATATTTGGAAACAGCTTTGGCTTTCTAAAGGCTCAAATTAGTATTAAAAAAAAAAAAAAAAAGCCTTATTCTACTCATTAGCCCAAACTGTGACTCAAGAAGAAATGTGAATGTCAGGGAGTCATTCTGGCTGCTAATGCTTCCAAGGACTCCTCAAAAAGCCTCATGAGGAAGCAGGTCACAGCACTCATGTTTAATTAATGACTAACCCAAGGACAGGTGTCCTTGCTGCCATTAGAACCCTTAGCTAATGAGGTGAACATCTGACCCTAAATCCTAAGTCTGATCCTAAATCCTTCAACTTTGCCCCACACCAGAGGACAGGATGGGTCAAAAAGTCTTCTCTTTGAACCTTACAATGTTTTCCGAAATTGTAAATGTGTTAACAAGATTCCACACACATACACACACAGGCCAGACTTCTGGGTGATCTTGAAAACTCATAAAAATCTGCCAATTCTGTAACCAACAAAGCAATGGAGCTACCAACAACGACGTCTCCAGACCGACAAGAGCGCTCTGTTCTCCATAATCCCCAGTTTGTGCCACCATCAATGGCTGTCTGGGTTTGTACAAGGTTCTCCTTCCTCCTGAGCTATTTCACATGCTTCTACCAGCTGAGGCGCCACTCTAAAAATGTCAGTTTTTCATCTTCACCTACATTTGCAGTGTCAACTGCCCATCCGTCCTGACTCCCCTCCTGCTCCTAGAGAGTTAATAACGGAAAATGTGTGCTTAAGCAGACAGGACCCATTCATAAAGCTGTAAACATGAGCCAGGGCAGGCATCTGCCTTACAGGAGCTCACATCCCAGTGAGGAACTCAAGCAAGCAACAAGAGCACCATTGAGAAATTGGGTTAATGCTGCCAGGGCGAGCTCAGGCACCGGGAGAGCTCAAAAAAGAACAGTGAGCCTGGCCCGGGACTTCAGGGAAATATTCTCACAAGATTGGCAGCTGTGATTGAAGGACAGGAGAATCCTGAAGGCGAAGAGGCGGGCCAGTGGACAGGCAGTGGCACTGATCACAGGGTGATGGGGGAAGGGGGCAGAGTGGCAGGACACTGAAAGGTCTACCTGGCCAGAGATGAACAGAGGAGGTTGTGGGGGGAAGGTGCGCAGCAGGGACTGTGCCAGGAGGGAAAGTGAAAGTAGAAATTCTTCATTCGGACCAGAAGGCTCAATTCTCTAAATCCACAATGGCACAACTGACAAATTTTTACTCAGATCATAAAGAACTCTTGACATACAACAGTAAAAACACAAAGACATTCATTTACTTAATGAGTAAAAGTTGGAGTATCTTCCCCCCAAAAAATTCATATTAAATATATTAAAAGACCGGGCGTGGTGGTGCACGCCTGTCATCCCAGCACTCGGGAGGCTGAGGCAGGAGGATCACTATGAGTTCAAGACCAGCCTGGGCTACATAGTGAGTTCCAGGTCAGTCTCAGCTACATAGTGAGACCCTGTCTCAAAAAACAAACAAAACAAAACAAAACAAATATATATATAAGAAGGACCAGGGATTTAGCTCAGTGGTTCTGCCGCCTGCCTCGTAAGCACAAGGGCCTGAGTTCAATCCCCTGTACCAAGAAATAAATATTTTCCTTGCCAGGGATTTAGCTCAGTGGTTATGCCACCTACCTCACAAACACAATGAGCCAAGTTTGATCCCCGGTACTAAAAAATAAAAATTTTCAAAAAACCACTCAGCCCTAAAAAAGGAAGAGCCAGAAGGAGCCTTAAGCACAAGGTCCTGAGCTCATCCTCTGGTTAAAAAAAAAAAAAAAAAAAAAAAAAAAAAAAAAAAAAAAAAAGGACACACAGATACACAACAACATGGATGGATCCCAGTAATATTGGTGTGTGAAAGCAGCCAAACAAAAAACTATAACCACTGCAATGTGTTCAGAAGAAATCCTAAGATATGCAAAAGAAATCTACAGTGACAGAAAACAGAACATTAGTCCCTTCTGAAGAACTAAGCTGAAATGCAGTATGCTAGATCTTATTTGGGGCTGTGGTTACGCATTTGTCAGTCACTGACGTACACATAAAACGACCTGCATTTCATCGTATGTAATTATATCTCTACTAAAATGAGGACTTTTGGAATGACAGTAAGAGACAGCAGCACCGCATAACATACAGACACTTCAGGTGCCATCTCGTGCCTTCCAAGCACATCATGACAACGGTTCACCATTAGAGCGATCGGCACTCACCCCGATACATGATTTAGAGCCTCCGCTTTTCTGAGATAGGATCTAAGTAGTTCAAACTGGCTTCAAACTCACAGCAAAGGAGGCCTTGTTTTTAATAAAGAAGGACAGGAGAATGCAGCACACACAGCATTTTCTCTTTGGCAGAAACTGTCAAAGCCACTCACCCCCGTTATAAATGATGCAGTTGTGTAAAATCCACTTTGCATCAGCCAGGAAGGCTTCAGTGCAGCCATACATTTTCTTTTTAGCATTCTGGGAAGAAAAGAATCGGCGCATAATCACCAGTGAATCTGAACAAACCATAGTCAGTAACACCTGCGTCCTCACATAATTTCTTAGCAGTCATTTCCCAAATTAATTAATGCTCTTTTACTTATTTCCCAAGATGCTATTATTTTTAAGATCTATAACCCTATAAAAAGGTACTCGTTGAATCCATCATGGCAACTTGAATTTTCTCATCTCAAAGCTGATGTCATTTATCAAACAGAGCCTTCTAATGAAGAGGACACTTTATACACTTGTGTGTTATTTATTATTAAGTCATGAGGGGCTGGGAGAGTAAAAATGATCAAGATTCAATATGTACATGTAGCAAAACCCCAAGCTGAAAGTACATAATTACTATGAATCACAAACAGGTACTAGTAAAAAAAATTAGATTACAAACTCGCTAAAAAAAATAAATAAATAATATAGGACGCACAAGAGAAAAAAGGTCAAATGGTCTCACAAGAACCTCATGAAAATTCAGTGAAAGACTTATCATCCCCATTTTATGGAAGAAAAACTGAAATGCAGAAATGTTAGTAAGAAATGTATTCCAAGGGCTCAGAATGTAGCTCAGAACTAGAGAACTTGCCCAGCATGCATGAGGGCCTGGGATTCATCCCAGTATCCACAAAAAAGAAAAAGAAACTTACTCCAAATACAAAGCTAGGATTAATCCTGTTTTTCAAAAGTCTTCCCACACAATTTTCCAAAACAGAACAGATTTATTGTTTGGGGGTTTATCAGTGCTCATAATACGAACTAATGTTTCTTTTCACAAATGCTTTTCATTCGCTTCTTGGCCTTTTGGCTAAGATAGTGTAATAAAAACGCTTTTCATTACCCATATTTTAATAACGGTCTGAAAATCAGCACCAGAATGACATGCACACTCTAAAATGTTACAAGTGTAATTTCCAGCAAGGAATTTTAGTGGGAACTTTTAAAAAACACCTACAGGCAATAAAGAAATAACCTTATCAGTACAGTAAGTCAATTTTAAGAAGCCGCATCTCTAGTGCTAATCTGTAGGGTTTCCAGACACATTATTTTCTCTTCATCCTTCTTGCTGCTCTGATTAGCACCTCGGAAAGACAGGAAATGAGGCTCCAATTAATCCCATCCCTAATGCTTAGAAAGCCAGAAACAGGCTGCGGGGATGAGTTCAGTGGCTGAGCACTTGCCTAGCATGCCGAGGCCCTGGGTTCAAGCCCAGAACGGCCAAAAAAAAAAAGGCTAAGACTCTTTCTTTCTACAAAGCTTGAAGCAACCAGAAATACCATCAGTGGACCTGCACACTGACTGCACTGCAAGCCTCAGAAGAGTGTTACAGAGCAAAGAATGAGGACAGCATGGGTTCTTCTACTCAAATAAAACCAGAGCAGCCAAACACAGCATAGTGTAACATGGGATATGGCATTAGAATCGAAGGAGCATCCTTAGCCATCTTGACAACTGAGGGCTACAACAGCAGGGCTCTTGACAGATGGAGGCCAACCTTTTCCAATGTACAAAGATCCATTGGATGGAAAATATACTCGGCATAGTCAGGATGCTGTTCCAACGGAACGGGCTTCTGGAAGGCATCTGTCTGTAAAAGAAAAGATACACACAAGGGTGGAAACTCATCACCGCTGTGAAGGCCAGGCACTGATTCCAACAAGGGCTTCAAAGAAAGGAAGGTAGTAACCTCACAGAAAATCCAGCCTTAGCGACACCCAAAAGGGTGGCTCCTTCTAAGTCTGCCTCCTACTGAGGATGCTGGGTCCAGTTATACCTATTTTCGCTTTGTTATTTCTTGTGTTTTCAGTACATACCCACATGGCAGGTTCTGTCCTCTTCCATGAAGGCTGACAATTATAATCCAGTACCAGTTACCTGAGTCCTTGACCCTATGAAGGCTGATGGACCTCCCACCCAGAACCAAAACTGACTTGAGAGTGAATCAGGCTACATCTAAAGATGGCACACCAGCTAAACCACCCTCCATGCCAGAAGGTATTTTTCTATATGGGAGAAAATTAAACAATGAAGATGTGTTCCTCCTTTGAGAGGCCAAAATGCTCTCAATACAGGGACTTTGTGAAAGCTTTTGATCTTGATCCATGTTTGTAAGTCCTCCTTCAATCAGCTTAACATATAAGGCCCAGCTTATTGTCGGGTGGCACTTACTTATCAATTTAAAAAATCTACAAGATCTACCGAAATATGCCAGTGCACGCTTTTAATCCCAGCACTCTGGGAAGCTGAGTCAGAAAGATCACAAGCATGAGTGCGGACTGCGCACCTCAGTGACTCTGACTCAAAAAAGAAACAAGGTTTGGGGATATAGCTCGGTTTGAATTCCCTGGGTTCAATCAACAGTGCTGAAAACAAATCAAACACCAAATTATGCTCAAGCAAGGCCTCTAAACAAATTACCATTCCGGGCATGGTGGTGCACGTGTGTAATCCCAGCACTCGGGAGGCTGAGGCAGGAGGACCCCTTTGAGTTCGAGACCAGCCTGGGCTCAGAGTTCCAGCTCAGTCTCAACTACATAGGAAGACCCTGTCTCAAACACCCGCCCCAAAAAAATTACCATTTGTAGTGCTCAGAACCTGCTTTCATCAGAACGAAAGTATGGCCACCAAAAGTTAAAAAGATGTTTCACATCTATGTTGTGGCTTGGTGTGCAAGAAGGCCCTGGGTTCTGTTCCTACCACTGTCTCCCAACCCAAAGTAGCAACTTTTCCTCCCTGCATGATTTTACATTGAACAATATCCAGGTGAGATTTATTTCTTTGATGCTTCATTTTGGTTTTTCAGTCTTTAGCAGACATAATTTAGCCTAAAAGAAGCAAAAGTGATTGCTCGTCACATTGAACATGAAAACCATTCTATTATCAAAAAAACAAAAAATAATTTTTTTCTACGACACCACAACTACACACTTTGCTTCCACTGACTGAGATTTTGCGGGAGACAAGTAGATTCTCAATCTAATAGCCAATTGGCATATCCTCATCTATTTCCAATCACAAAATCAAATTTCAAAATATAATCTCAATGAGGGGCTGAGGATTTAGCTCAGTGGTTCCACCGCCTGCCTCAAAAGCACAAGGTCCCCAGGACACCCCCCAAAAAATTGGGTCTACTTCTTTTACTTTGCATTATTTTTTTTGAGAGGGGGGTACCGGGGATCGAACTCAGGTCCTTCTGCTTGCGAGGCAGGTGCTGGAACCACTGAGCCAAATCCCTGGCTGATTTTGCACTATTTTTTATAGTGCTGGAGAGCAAACCCAGGACCCTCACTGGTCAGAGGTAAAGGCTCTACCACTTAATTGCACCCTCAGTCCTAGCTCTTTTTTTAAGAAAAATTAAATAAAACCACAATGATTACTAAAAATACTCAAATTAAATGTCTGTATTTTCATTTCATTTCATAAACAAACCTGAAGAGCTTCATCCAGGGTCCACCATTGGGCCACAGGGTGCTTTGGTGCAAATCAGAAAGGGGAAAGCCTCACCCTGATGTTTCACATTTATCTATGGGGCACATGTTGCGTCGGTCATATTCTCATTTTCCTACAAGCTTTCGTAACAATACTCGGGAGGGACCCTTCTGAGATGTACCACTTGCCCGCCCAACGTGGCAGCCCCGCGTTCAAAGCTTTTCCAAAGGGACAAAGGGGATGCGTCCATCCCATTTCAAAACTGAAGGAACTAACAAATTCTCACCCTTTATGTACATTTCTCTGGTTTAATTTTGTTTGAAGGTCTCATCACCAGACCACGACTATAAATAGACTGGGTGGCACCCAGCTCTCCCAGGAACGGAACGGCACTAATGCGGAGGGGCAGGCACCACACTCCTCTTCGGCCAATAGAGTATGAAGTTTCACTTCACAAGCAATGTGAATTTTAACTGCACACCAACTGTCTACTGAATGCTATTTCCTGACTACACTTCTTGAAAACACAGGGGGCTTGCCACAAAGAAAGGACTGAACACCCATTATGCCTCACGCTTCAATTATGGGTTTTTTTCTAATTTGGACATACAAGAAGTTCCCATGAGTATGCACAGATGTCGGAAAGGCAAAGCCTACAAAGAATACATAAGGTGCTAATAGTACAAAACAGAAGCCACTCTCTTCATTCATGCTTACACCGGCAGGAACTTCTTCTTACCCCTGGCTGCTTCATCTTCTGAATGGCAAACTTGAGCAGGTAGGACAGTTGCTCAATGGTCAGCATGGTCATGGCTTTGCTCTGGGTCTCGATGCATTCTGCTACTGTAATCTTCTACAAGTCAAAACCACACACACATACACACACGTCCGGTTAGAGAAGAGAGACTATGACCCAAGTATTTACTCTCCTTCTACTTGGGTTTCAGTAAACTCACACCTGAAAAAGTAATTTCCATCTAAGTAGGGAAAAAAATCAATTTGCTTGGCGAGGATTCCAGTCCACTAGACCAAAGTGCACTGGATCCGTAGGTAAAGATTACAAAGCACAATGATCCATTCATTACCTTATTAGGAAGTGCTTCTAGATCGTGAAGAGGGTACGATCTGAGAACAGTGTGGGGAGATGGGGACCAGGAAGAGAGTCATTATTACAACCTTTGGGTATCAAGAGCACGGCATGAAAGGAAAGGCCACTGTTGGTTTCAAGGTGATCTCCCCACAGGATACTTATCAGTTGCTTATCTTGATCCTCTTAAAGCTCTGAGCTATGTTCAGGAGACTGGCAAGGCCACCTCAGAGACATCACTGGTGGAAAGGGACAGAGTTTCCACAGAAAGAATGCAGGGGTGGGAGTGCACTAATAATAAACGTGACTTCATTCTCCACTACTATGGATGTGAACCCACTCGGGACATCCTGGCAAACTTCTGCAGGGGCACAGGCCAACTGCCTATCTCTCTGGACAGTAAATGTCATTTTATAAGGGAAATTCCAACCCAAAGAGAAACGACTGGAACCGGATAACTGGAACTATTTATCTCAAGTTATTTAGAAGATCTATGTAGCAGCAAAAACAAAAATAGCAAATCCTGCTGTTGTCAGGAAACATTCCAGCCATCTGTGAAAGGAGAGCTGAGAAGTTTTCTTCAATTCGTTTGGATTCAGTTTCCATTCTTCACAACTCTGGGGCTTCTGAAAGGAACTCTCAGATGTGTCTGGTCAGTTGTCGAAGAAAGGGTCATTCAGAAGCTGGAAATGTTATGACGCATGTACCTAACTGCTGGGCAACAAAAGCTTCAAACAGCTAGGACTCCCAGCTGTCTGCTTACTGATTCTCCCCTAGAAGAAACTGAGGCCCCTGAATCTTAGACACCCATATGTTTGAATCTCAGTTTGTTTCCAGGTGCTATCTGGGGAGGGCACTGGGGTTGCTGCCCGACTGTCATTCACTCTTCCTCGCTGGCAGTGCCTGGTTCTCATAGGCCAGAAAATGCTACACCAAGCCTTGATTCTGCATGGAAACTGGCGAGCCAAGGCTGACCAATCAGCTGAAATAAATTAACTGGAGAATGACAGGTAAAAATCAAGCCTCCAGACAGATCAGCTAAAGGATGATGTATGCGTACAGCCCTGTTTAAGAAAAGGTGTCCTAGGCCAGGGATTTAGCTCAGTGGTGCCGCTGCCTGCCTCGCAAGTGCAAGGTCCTGAGTTACAACCCTGGTACCAAAAGAAAAAAAAGACATGTCCTTCCCTTAGGGTACTTCTGTCTATCCACATGATACAGGAAGCCCAGCAGCCATCTTTGGCCACATCCCCTCGACAATGAGATGGAATGAGCCCGATCCAGAATGAACTCCAGTGGGCCCTGCCCTGGGTTCTTCCTACACCCGATGGTGATAGCGCCCAGTATATGGGCTCAGCTCTCTTTCACCAGGAACCATCACTCGCCCAGAAAGTATCTTTTTGTAATTTAATGAAGCAGTTGGGAAGAGCTCCTTAAGACAAAAGAAAATCAGTGAAAATTCCAGGGCCCACACTACATGTAGCAGAATGGGCTTGGGCCCCCAAAAACTTCGATGGAAATCGCTGAACAAAGCTTACACTACATGTATCTCCCCAAGAGTGACTGCAAGACAACCAGCAGCCATCTTCTGCCCTTTCAGAGGCAGAATCCTGTGACAGTGTATGTCCTCACTATCATTATACTGACATGATACCCAATTTCTTTTCATCCATTTCTTACTCTCTTCCCATCCCTACACAAAAGCAGCACCTCAGAGGCTACTTCCATGAACTGGATTCATTTGTTTTCCATTAAAGACATCTGGGTTGCCTATTTCACGAAGAGAAAACTTCCTCATTTGAGACCCAAGTCCAGCATACACTGAAATCCAAGAGGTATTCTATATTAAATGATTTTGTAGGTGACTTTTTATTCTGAGCATCTAAAAAGTATCCCAGTTGGAAGTTGCCAAGGACGAGAAGCCACCTCAGAACAGTGGAACCCTAATCGCTGGCTGACTTTAGAGGGTCTAGGGCTTCCTGCACCTGAGCCCCTCTGCCCGGAAGGGCTCCCTAGGTATCTACAGGGCTCACCATGCACCCCTGCAGGTCCTCCTCAAACCTCACTGCAGCCTCCCAGGCCTGCGCACTAAAAGGAAGGTGCACTGTACCTCCTCAACTTCCTGCTGCCCACCTTCAACCCACTCTCCCTAAAGCAGTTTCCTTCCGATTTATTACATGTAACTTCATTGTGATTACTACTCTTTTTTTCTACTGAGAAGAAATGTGATCTGTGCCTATGCCTGGGCTCTGCTGAACCCCCAGCACCTTGCAGGCCCTTGAGAAATATTTGTCGATGAAAGTAAGCATCAGGTGGCAACACACGGAGGACAGAGCCGCAGCTGGCCTTTCCACTTGACGTTGGCGGTGGCTGCTGCTGCTGCTGCCGCTGACAGTCACAGAAAACACAACATCCAAGAAAGGGAGAAACGGCACGAGATTTCTTCAAAAACATGTGAACTGCATGCACGAACTTCCAAGACATTCATTGTAGAAGAAGCAAAGACAACTGCAGTTCTCAAAGACATCCACATTCATGAAGAACCAAAACCAATTCACACTGCAAGACAGCTGTCTTCGCAGAGCCGCAGGGCTGTGGCTGGTGCTGATGTTGGTCCAAAAAAAAAAGGTAACCAGCATAGAGCGGGTGGAAGGCAAGAAATTTCTCTTTTCCCTCTATCTGGATTAGTTGAAAATTTAAAGGTAAAAGGAAGAAAGTGAAAGGAGAGGGAACGAAGCAGGTAATGCATTCATTCATCAGGAACTAACCTCACATTCAGGACAAAACCAGTCCCCCTCTGGTTCCGATGTCAGTCTCAGACACTTAGCGTGATAAACCCGGGGACAGAGCTCACAGCAAAGGACTTGGCCTTCCCGGTGACAAACCCAGCAGTAGAAATCATTCCGTCCATCCTGCGGTACAACATCAACAGGGTCTGTGGTGAGTGGCTGCTTCATATAGTAAAACGGACCATGTCTTAGTTCTGACTGAAATGTAGGCAAGAAAGACAGGTTTGGTTTCAAAACAAATGTGCATTCTCAACAGGAATTTACAAGTACATCAATCACAACACGAGAAAACTACAGCATTTCACAAGTCCACAAAAAAAGCCAAGCTATCCTGGGTTGCTCTACTAAATAACAGCATCCGTGCATCATTAGATATTATGATTTTTTTTTTTCTTTCTTCTATTTTAAAAGGCCACAGACTGAAAGCTAGTATCTGAGAGTGGCTAAGCAGCACTAGTACAATCCCCAGGTGTAAATTTTATCTCTACCATTAACCAGCTGCGGGACCTTGGACCTATCACCGTTCGGCCTCAATTTTCTCATCTGTAAAATGGAGATGGTAATACCCAGCTTCGTGGTATTGTGTTAAGGATTAAATGGGATTATATAATGTATGCATTTTACACGGCTGCCATTACTAACATCATTAATACAGTTAAGAACCCATTATATGGATGTCGAAGTTCACAAAGCCAACAAAACTACCGAGTCTTTAACCAGTAGGCACTAGGAAGACAGAACTGGATTCAAGTCACCAACATATGACCATTCAAGCCTGCACCCAATGATGACACTGAGAGCCAAAAAGACACACCCCTCTGGAACGTGGGTGCCTGAATGCGCAGGGGAACCACCTCTCTTCATCAGAACCAAGGACAGCAAAAAGACGAGATGGAAATGTAATCATTGGAGCCAGCCCTCTTCCTGTCCCCAAATGTCAGGAGAAATCGTACTCTACTGAGATATTCTAGAATACAGCAAAGCTATGCTCCAAACACAAAAGTCACTCTCAAGAAACTCATTAGGAAAATGTCCATCAGACGCCAACAGGAAATAAAGTTTAGGGAGCACGAGAAAGGCCAAGGGCAAGCGTCAAAACAGCTTGTTAACCCACTATATGATCTTCAGAAGCTGCTCAACCTCCTGTGAGCCTCAATTCCATGGTGCTAAAACCACGCACGGCAGCCTTGTCACGCCCATGACCTACCGTAGAGCACACACCACTGTGGAACACATTTCCTTCCTACCCGTCAGTAACATTATGGTTTCAGCAGGAAGATCTCATACACTGGTTAAATACTGGATAATTGTGCTGATATTATACATGGGATCTTTTTCCATGACACTAAGTGGTTAATCTGGGTACACACAAATACTGTTAGACTTTTAACAATGACCTCATATAAAAATAGTTTATTGACTGAAAACAAAATAACATTTCTCAGTAACATCAGTCGAATCTGCACCGCGGTGCTTTTGGTTTTTGTTGTCCCACTGTTTTGCAGCACTAAGGGTCCGAGTTTTCTTCATTTTAATGGGTAGGGCTTCCAGGATGTTGACGATCACAAACACTGCAGGCACCTCACATAGTGTTCTTGGCTTTTATTATCAGGTTTGAATGTTCTCAAAATGCCTGGTATTGCTACACTTCGTAACAAAGAGCTTCACTGACACTAATTTAGCAGATCTTTGTTCGACTGAGTAGAGATAACTAAGTCCTGTAAATGTGATTGCTTAATTCTTTAGCCTACTATTATCTCCCTGTTTCAGTTCAACTTTTAAGATACGGCAGTCAATCCGGTTTCCAGGTAATGAAATCACTGTTCTGACAGTCTTTACATGGTACACTTTTCAACGTATCGTCACACCAGCCATCTTCGTTTCATCCTGACATCACCCAGGGAGGTACACAGAATGGGTACCACGAGCTGTACTTGACAGGTGGAAAAGAGCTGTTAAAAAAAGACTGCTAAGGGCCGGGGATTTAGCGTAGTGGTGCCGCCGCCTGCCTCACAAGCGCAAGGTCCCAAGTTCAATCCCTGGTACCAAAAAAAGATTTAGCTGAGCTCTAAGCCAAGAGCCAGGACTCAGCCCTGGCCTCCCAATTAGCTCCACGGCCCATGCTCCACTCAAGATGCCCTGATACAGACAAAAGGGCGCTGATGCTTAGTGACCCCTTAGAGACCACTCTCTGTAATCCAAAGTAAGTTCCACTAAATATAGTCTTCAAGGGGGAAAAAAAGCTGCAAAGTAGGAGAACTACTAGAAACCTTTAAGGAGGCCACCTCAGCGGCCAGTGGGCTCAACCTAGGTGGGGAGCCTCCCTGCAGGAGGTGTGGCAGTAGCCTGAGGGCCAAACTGGCCTCGGCCTCAGACAATGCTTATGTTCATGGAGGAAGGGGAGGTTGGGAAGCCAGACACCATGGTGCACACCTGTAATCCCAGCAAGCGGAGGCTGAGGCAAGAGGATCACGAGTTCGAGGTCAGTTGTGCAAAGGAGAGGGACCTTTTTTTTTTTTTTGCTGTGTGGGAGGGAGGGCAGGAGGGAGGTGGGTCAATCTTGGGAAGGAGGTAAAAGCAGGGAGGAGGAAATAAAATGTATACACCAAGCAGGCAGAACTATTTCTAACCCCAGTCAGGTGTCCTAGAGTAAGTCATATGTGCAATGCCCTACTTCCTCCCAGTAAGTTAATAATCAGAGCCAGCGTCATTAAGACCTAAACGAAATTGAAAATTCAAATATGGCAGCTCATCTCCCTAACCTGCAACCCAAGTCCACCATCTAAGAGAAACAGTGGGGACTTTTGGTTTGGGAGTGCTTTTTGTTTTATATTTGGTCTGGTGCTGGGGACAGAACAGAAGCAGGTTTAGTTGTCTTTAGGATGAAGCTTCCGTTGTGCCCTATCTGTACCCCACCCTCAGGCAGCTGGGGCCCAGCGACCTGGAGGGCGGGGACACCCAGGCCCCCGCTCTGTCCTTCCATCCCCTTCTCTCTGGACCAGCAGCAGCGCTGAGGTCCAGCTGCCTGCCTCATCTCCTTCTCAGTCAAGATACTTCCCTTATCTGCTGCTAGTGTTTCCCGCTCCATAAAAATAATCTGCTAAGAAATATGGAACATTTTTAAAAGGAAAAGTAAATCATTTCAGGTAAGATGAGTTATGATGCTTTTTCTCCCCCACGTGTATAAGGTACGTGGCCAGCCTGACAGACAAGGACAGGCTGCAACCTATGTTATGAGGTTAGGAGAGCAGATGCTCTTATTCCCCTGCTCCTGCCACACAGGTTGGGTTAATAGAACATGGAAAAGGCCTGTTCATTCACTTCTAGAATATGTGAGTGGACAGCAGAAGCCAGCAAACTTTTTCTATAAAAAGTTCTGTAAGAGTAATGAATAAGCCAGGCATGGTGGTACATGCTCATAATCCCAGCACGCAGGAGGCTGAAGCAGGAAGAACACTGCAAATTCAAGGCTAGCCTGGTCTATACAGTGAGTTCAAGGGCAGCTTGAAATACATGGTGAGACCCTTTCTCCATGATGATAATAATAATAGGAAGAAGCAGGAGGAGGAAGAGGAGGTGATGGCAGCAGTACCAAGCATGGTGGTGCATGCTTGTAATCTCAGACCTTGCAGAAGGATTGCAAGTTCGAGCCCAGCCTGGGCAACACAGCAAGATCCATCTCGTGGACGGATGGAAGGGAGGAAGGGAGGGAGGGGACACAAGCTCTTAAGAAGGTGGGGAGGGGAGGGCAGAGGAGAAAATAAGAACCAAGACATATAGTGTAAAGGCACAAGATCCCAATCATGAACCTAACTACTGTTTGCTTTAAAGGTACCAACAAACTTAACGAAGGAAAAAAAGCTCTTGGACCACAGGCTGCCCTTTGCCAACACCTGGTCTACAGAAGCCACAGGACCAGCATGGGGCTGTGTAAAACAAGGACTTCCTACAAGAAGCCAAAGAAAACGGCCCCGGGACAGGGATTTAGCTCAGCGGCTCTGTGGCTGCCTCACAAGAGCAAGGTCCTGAGTTCCACCCCCGTACCAAAAAAATAAATAAATCATTAGAAAAAGAAAGAAAACAGACTTTGCATCAGCGCTTGTCACAGAGTTTGATAAAAGCACGGGTACTGCAAAGCGTGTAAGAATCACCCAGCCCCAGTGAAAGGCCCACACTGACAGCAGCCTTGAACTGGGTGGGCAGCAGGGAAGGTGGAGCTCATGCCCCATCTGCAGGGGCTTTGCACATGGGACTTACTGTGGTCTTAAAAAACCCATGGGATACCCCATTTGGTAGAGACCTTGCTTGCCTGCCACTGCAAGGCTCTGGGTTTAATCCTCAATACAACCACCAAGGAAAAAGGGAAAAGAAGTAGGAGGGAAGGAGGGGGGAGCACAGGAGGGGAGGGGAAGGGACGGGACCCCAAAATGCCCATTTCAATTTGAAATCTCATAGCCAAGTGTTAGTGACTGATTAAAATTATGTCAATCAAATACAATGTTTGGGCAAAGAGAAGGAAAGGTATCCAGCATTTTCTTCTTAAGTATTTAGGCTCCCCTTGAGAAAAAGGGTGGGTGAAGCAAACTGCCCTCCTCTGCAAACGCTGCCTGCTAGCCGGAATGAGGGGTCAAGGGTCAGGAATGTGGCCCCTATGCAGTTGAGGCTATTTGGTCTTTACCAACAGAAGTTTCCCGCCCACCGTGCCCTGGAGTTTGAGATCAGAGAAGCAAACCTACAATCGACCTAACAATATTCCCACTGGAAACCTCTATCTTTTGACATAACTGAAGCTCCAAACGAAAGTAACCAACGAGGTCACACAGTCTCCCAGATGCCGGGGGCAAGAGTGAGTCACGCGTCTGGGCAGAGTGCCGCCCTCTTCTGGGAATACTGCAGGCAACGGGCACGCAGGGGCAGGCTCGGGCCTGTGTCCGCCCTTTCACCCTTGCCCGGCTGCGTCCCACACCGAGAGCGCCTGCATCCTCGCCTCCCGCTGTGTCACAATCTAGGGAGGCGGCCGCCCTAGGCACTGGCCACTGAGCCGAGTACAGACTGACATCACCGCGGTCACAAGGCTTAAGTGTCACAGAACTGGTGCTACCACAGGGACTGCGAAGGAGGAGATACAAGGCCCAAGTCTCCTAGGGACCGGAAGAAAGAAAGAGGAGCAGATTCCTGGAGAACAGACAGGAAGTCACAGGACAGGCGCAGAGCGGAGGCTGGGTGGGGAAAGGCGTCCTCCAGTACACGTCTGGTTGGCCGACCTCCCAGCAACGACAAGGACAGTGTCGGCCCAGGAAATTGAATTACTGGCTAAATTCTAGGGATTATCTGTGGCCTTCATGTTTCTCTCTTCGGCTTCCGGCCTGACAGCTATGAGACAGTGACGGAGGCCTGTTGTCACCAGCTTCAAGCCACACAGGCAGACTGAACCTCAAAATGCAGCCTCTCCCTCACCAAGATCTTGAGGGAGAAACCTAGCATCTCTCCACGTCAGTGTCCTCATCTGCAAAGTGGAGGCCTTCTTCACAAGGTTGTCACAAACATGAAGATTAACACAAACAGTTGGCAACACAGCAAATACTTTTGGGGTTTTGTGTTTGTTTGTTCTGTTTTGTTTTGTTTTTTGAGACAGGGTCTCACTATGTAGTTGAGACTGACCTGGAACACACTACGTAGCCCAGGCTGGCCTCGAACTCAGTGATCCTCCTGCCTCAGCCTCCGGAGTGCTGGGATTACAGGCGTGTGTCACCATGTCTGCCTGTGTTTGTTTGTTTACTGGAGTATTTGGGGATTGAACCCAGGGCATACAACTAAACTACCTCCTCCTCAGCCTTTTTTTTTTTTTGGAGATACTCTCACTAAATTCCTAATTTACCCAGACTGGGATTAAACTCAAGATCCTCCTGCCTCAGCCTCCTACAGTGCTGAGACTACAGAGCTGTACCACGAGGCCCAGTTCATTTTTGGTATTGCCACCACAATTACATAGAACATATTTTTTTCAAATCGCAGTGCCCCTCAAAATATACATAGGATCCACCACCAATCTCTTCTCTTCTAATGGTGACTCCTAATTGGCTTTAAATCTAAGCTATGAGCCACTGAAAGCCACTTACCTTTAAATTAAATTAATTGAAAACTCAGTTCCTTAGTCACAGTTGCTACTCCCACAAGTACTCAAGAGCCACATGTGGCTTTGATACCATATGGGTCTGGAACATTTTTACAGATATTGTGCATTTCACATACCTACAGCCTGTATCATTAATCTACTTAGCACACAGCCTGGCTTGGCTTTTAACTTTATTATTATTACTTGTGTCCTTTGGCTCAGCGAGTCCTCACGACCAGCCTGTGGATGAGCAGCATATATCATGATCCCCATTTCAGTAGATGAGAAAACTAGACACGAAGAGGTTAATTTGCCCACAGCCACAGAGCCAAAAGCAGAGCCGGCACTTCGCTATATAATTTTGAGAGTGAAAATAAACTCATGCTCAGACACACACACCTCTTTCAGTCAGTTAACCAATGCAAGGTCTCTTCCCAAGAAAGTGACAATCTCAGCTTCTGAGCCCCAGGGCCTGGTCCAGTTCTCAATGCACAAAACGGATGGGCGGTTCCCAGGGAATCCTTGCCGAGGATCAATGCCAGGACAGCTGACCTCATGCTGCACTGAGGGGCCAGACACACTCCCCCAATGGGTTCTGATTAATGCCGCTTGTTTCTTTCTAATCAAAGAGTTTCTAGCCTGCGTCCATCTATCTAGCTAGAAGGTTCCTCAGACAAGATCCAAGATGGCGACAGGATGTCCTGTATGCAGGTGGCTGTCGGGACAAGTGGGATGTGTGCCCAGAACGGTGAAGAAACGGTGACCTGCGACCACAGTCTACCTTTCTGGTTCCTCTCACCAGACCTAAGCCCTTCACTTTACAGATGAGAAAATGAGACCGGCAGGGAGCAGGCCTCAGCCAAGCAGCGGCCTCCAGAATGCATGGGGAAAACAGTCCTTGGAGCATGAAAAAGATTAATCTACAGGGCTGGGTATTTAGCTCAGTGGTGCCACTGCTTGCCTCAAAAGTGCAAGGTCCTGAGTTCAATCCCTGGGATCCCCCCCAAAAAAATTAATCTATGGAAAGCCAGACCCTCCCCAAAGAAGAATACTCTCATCTCATCCAGGTCACTGCTCCGTCCCCATGCAGATCTCTAGACCTGCTGGAAAAACTTTTACACAGCCCCTTCTACGCTGCCCTTTCCATCCTATGCCAAGGCAGCACCAGGCAGCATGCCAAGTCAGTGCCAAGCAAGTCATCAGCCTCAGGACACCAGGGAGCGGCCATGCTGCTCACTGGCCTCTGTCCCGCTGGTGCGGACGCCACTCCCAGTGGCTCCTTTACCTGCTCCTTATTGTTACTGTTCAGTAAGCCGGGTTTCTTTTTCTTTTTAATGGGGCTTGTGGATGTGTCCTGTGGTGAGTGGCCATTGGAAGAATGCGGGGGGCTGGGGAACTTTCTTTTCTGGGTCGTTCTCTCTGTAGAGCCAGGATCTGAAAGAGACACAGAAGACCACACAATTTTAAAGCAGTCAGGAAGGCACGGGTCCCATGCAGAGTGTGTGTGACCTGGTCCCCAAATCCCTAGTGCCATTTCAACATTGCTCCCCCTTCCCTCTTTGCTGACTCAGAGGTCAGACGGTCTCTCTTCAACCTACACATTTTTGTAAAATCTAAATTTGTTGCCAAAATATAAAAATTGGCAGACTTCTTGTAATAACCTAGACTTTTGGCTTCTCTTTAAAAATAAGAAAAAATGCCAGGCACGGTGGCACGTGCTTGTAATCCCAACACTCCAGAGGCTGAAGCAGCAGCAACGCCGCAAGATCGAGGCCAGCCTGGGCTACAAAGCGAGTTCAAGGCCAGGCTGAACTGCATAGCAAGACCTTGTCTCAAAAAACAAAAAAAAAAAGAAAAAACAGATCTGGGTACACAGGCCTCCCTGGTATCAGATACAGGTGGATAATAATCACCCATTTTTCAATGGCAATGGGCCCTGCATTTTGCCACAATCACCATCCCTACTGGGTCACTGTTGATAAGGCCAAGGTCAAGCCATCGATGTCACACAGGCACCAGTATAGCCCTGATACACTGGAAGTACACACTGTACTTCTTTTCCTCACTCACATCCAATAATAAAAATCAAGAAACTACAAAAGACAGATCACCAAGGCCGCACTCCTCAAGGAAAGAAGGCACTCAGTTCTCTGTGGAAGGCAGCAATACGATTCAAGCTCCTTAGGCTAACAAAGTGTGCCTGTGTAAAAAGAATAAGCCCCGCCCACTGGAATATCCTTCTTGACCCAGCAGCAGCAGACAGGGCTTAAGGGAAACCTCCAAAGTCAATATGAATTGTACTCTCATCCATCCTCACCTGAAACACACAGCCCCACACTTGTCATCCACCCTTGTTCATCCTCCCCGTATCTCGTTTAAACATTCTTCCTCCACCATCCATCCCGTCATCACCTGCAAGGACTGGAGCCGGATCCATGCCTGGCAGTGGCCACAACTCTGTGCACCTTACATCCTGAGACACAAGCTACAGACTCCAGCAGAGGAGAGAGAGCACTCAGAGCACAGGGAACGGGGTGGGAGGTGAAATCCAGGAAGATGACGATTCCCAAAGACGTTCATTCCTCCTCCAGCTTTACCACTCAGGCAAGTCCCGGCATGCAGGCTACGCGTGCACTGCTGTCTCCCCGTCCACTGATGGAGGTGGACAGGGTCACCATGGCCACACGCACGAGGCCCCCGAGTGGTTCCCTTTGGATGGAAGGCAAAGCAGCTTCCGGGAGACAATAATGGGCCTCTCCTGCCTCACTGGCAGGCCTCAGAAAAACCTGAACCAAGGTTCCAGAGACCCAACCCTAAGAGGAAGTTAAATGCTAACTGCAGGCACCCTGAGGGTGAAGGGGGGGGTCGCCCCACAGACACCAACATGGGGGTGTAGAGAGCCAAACGTTGGCCCAAAGGCACACAAGAAAGTACACCCTGGGACAGGCACAGTCTACAGAGCAAGGTTCCTCATTCCCAGAGGGGTCTGCTCCACCATCCAGTGTTTTTTGTTTAGTTTTTTTTTGGGGGGGGGGGGACTGGGG